CCCTTCCAGCCCTCATTTTCTGTGATTCTATGATTCTAAGCTGTTTACTGGAGCAGGTACACTTTTTGATACAATGAATTCCTTCATTGTTTACTGGCAAACACAAAAGCCAGGGATACTCTCTGCAAACGTCAATTTAGCTGCCCTTGGTGACAGAATTTAAGGGACAAACTACTATCTGTTTCTGGCCCTCCCCATGTCATCTCTTGTTTGGCTTCTCTGTAGCAGCTTCTGTGATGTGTGCCGTTTTCCTCTAGTCTATGTTGTCCCATCATCTCCACTCAAGCCACTAGCCTCAATGGCACAAAGAGAAGCATGTCCCTTTAAGTCAGCACATATAGGACTGGAGCCAACAGCTGGATGACTTCCTCGCTCTGAATCACCCAGTGGGTAACAAAAATGACACGGTGTTCCTGGTGCTGAGACAGCTGAGATGAATGCCTTACCTTTGATGCCCTGTGCTCTCTCATTGCTCATGCTAGACACCACTGTCTCTTTAGCTAGCCCAGTGCAGATACATATGTAGACTCACATAGTCCAGCCTGCTTCATGGAGTTCTTCATCTAACAAGGATGAAATTGTTTCCAGATGTCTGCTTGGGAATTGGTTTTCTTTTCTTCCTGTAGAAGCCTTCCTTCTCTTTCTGTTCACCTCGGTAGCGTGAGCAATTCCCACCATCCTTACATTTCATCATCAGGGTTGCACCGTTCAGACAAAATCCCTCTTCACTAACCTCCATCTTCACTCACTCATTATGAAGCTTTTATGAATTATAATGGTTCTTGCTGTCCAAAACTGGATGAGTGGACAGCAGTCTGACTGGTGGGACTGGATTTAACATGAACTACAACTGATCAGCATGTTTGCTTGAAAGATGTCTCTTGATCTGCCCTTTTACAATTGTACTTAATACCAGGAGCTTCCCAGTGCTTTACTGGAGACCTGTAGTGTTCCCTCAAGAGATACATTGCCATTGCACATCAAAATCTGATGCTTGTTGATCCCTCATTTAGCCCCCCTTGAACTTAAATGCTATCTCCAGGGTGAGGGCACTGCAGAATTTGGCTGTTGGGTACACCGAGCTTTAGCTATGTCAGCCTTACTGGAAGCACTGGCCTCACTAATAGTTAATATCCAGCGATATTCAGCTAATGATTTCTAGGAAGGATGGCTATGGAAGGGAGAGGGACTGGCTTCCTAGTGTGGTGTCTACTTATAGGAATTTAGTTAATAGATTGAGGTGGCTGTGGTCAAAGGCCAGCCTAATACATTGAATGTGTATGTGTATTGTGAAGCTTTATAATTAGTCCTGAACTGTCCTAACTGAGCCTGTTCTTGTACATTAAATCAAGACACATCCGCTGCACTCAAAATGACAATTGCTGGACACAGGTGTTCACACTTGGTATTTGGTTCCCCTGGAGGAACTATTTCGAGGCCATCCTAGTTTGCAGGTGGAAGGGCGGCTGCTTATCTGAGGCTGAGAGGGGCTAGTGAGTTGTTACCTTTTGGTATAACTTTCCCTCCCTAGAGCAGGTTATGGCCTGGTAGACCTCCTGCCTTCTCTCTCTCTCTCCATCACAGTCTGGAGCTCATGCTTTTCTGACTCATGGCAAATGCTTTCTTGGAATCTCAATCAGTGGATGCCACATCAGAAAATAGCTTTGCTGCCTCCCAACTGTATAGCTAGCAATCCAGGGCTGAAACACCATAAAGCTTTCATAATCAAATAATCCCCATGTTTATGCCTAGCTGACTGACAGCACTGCCTCTGACATATCATTAGCGGGCATTTACATTCCTCCAGTAACTGCAAAAACCCCCAACCCCAAATCCAGAGCTTTTCGGAGGCACCAGAGGGAGAGGAAATAATCTGTGATCTTGAGACTTTCAGACCACTGAAGTAAACCCTCTCCCCCCCCCACCCCCATGTGTGATTTAGCACTTTACAAACACTCACTAGGGGATATTTTGTTTTGTCCTCCTTTGTTGTTGTACTTTTCTTTCTCTGCCGTTATACAGCTCAGTTCTTTCTATCCATTTCCCATCATGAAAGCTTGAGAAAAATGCAGTTCTCTGGACTCAGTTGGGTGCCTGTATATGTGGGTTGCCTATAGTTGGGTGCCTATATATGTCCATCATTCATGTTCTAATTAGGATGCTCCAGCGCCGTCACGGGTATTAAGCCCCTGCACGTTTCAAAATGGCCATGTAGGCATTTTATCTAAACCTAGTCAAATGAGCTTTAAATAAAGTGTCCCACCGCCAGTTTGAAATGTGTGGGGGCTTAATACACATGATGGTGAGCTGTTTTCATTAGACCAGCTATCCAGGAACTGCTCTAATTAAAATGCTCTGCCCCTCCCCCAAGCATGTGTATAGGTAACCATCAGCTAAGGAGGGTAGCAGATCTGCTTGAGGTACTTCCTAGTGAGGGGCATGGGTCAGGGGGCAGGAAGTGTGTTACAGGGCTTCAGAAAAGCAAGGACCCAGGGGAAACTGTATAACTTTAGGGCTGTGCGAGGCTTTGGGCAGAGCTTCGGATCCAGAGAAGCTTTGGACACCTCAGGGTCTGAAGCAGCACGTCCGGGCAGAAGCGCTGGCCTTGTTCGGCTTCCCAAAGTGGTTCGGAGCCGCCTCAGAGATCCGGCCATAGGGTATAAAGGGGAAACAATAAAATATCTATAACGCTGCTGTTTTTTCTCTGATTTGGATGAAATTTTCAGGGATGGTGGACACTGCAGAGAGACTGAAGCCTGCCAAGCTTCAAGAAGATCAGTGCAGGGGCTTGAGGGGAACAGCACCCCAAATTCTTGAAAGCAAAACTCCTGTCACGTCTACGTGTTACAACACGGGGGAGGAGGGGGTCAAAACTGCAGGGGTGGTAGCTCTTACTGAGGCCACAAAGCCTGCCAAGCTTCAAGAAGATCGGTGCTGGGGTTGGGGGGAACTGCCCCTCAAGCTGCAGACAAGCAAAACTGGTGCCATGGGTGCTTGTGGGACTGACTGTGTCTGTCTTGGGGCAGGAGGGGAGATGCTGCTGCAGGCCTGGCTGCTGAGCTGCTGTGCTCCCATTTACCAATCAATCAATCATGATTCACTCGGGGACCAGGGACTCAGGGACCAGCTCAATACACAGGTCCTAGCTACTACATAATGACTTAACGAGCATCTATTAGCAGGTACAAAACCAGGCTAAGGAGAGAAAAGACTCAATACAGACAATCAACTGCCCCAAGATGGACACAGTCTTGGCACAAGTTCTGCCTGTCAGCAGCTAGGGGTGCAGGGCCTCAGAGCCCCCCCCCCGCACTGATCTCCTTGGCAGCTGGCAGGCATCACAACAGGGGCCACCATCCCTGCAGCTGTCACCCCGCTGTGCCTGAACACACGCAGTGTCACCCATGGCACGAGTTTTGCTTGTCCATAGCTTGAGGAGCAGTTCCCCCCCAAACCCTGCACCGATCTCCTTGAAACTTGGCAGGCTTTGTGGCCTCACCAGGGGCTACCATCCCTGCAGTTTTGACCCCCCCTGTGGTGGAACACAAAGCCGTGACATGAGTTTGGCTTTCAAGAATTTGGGGTACGGTTCCCCCCAAACTCCTGCACTGATCTTCCTGAAACTTGGCAGGTTTCATGCTCTCAGCAGCAGCTACCATTCCTGCAAGCTTCATCCAAATCGGACAGAAAACAGAGTTATAGATATTTCATCGATTCCCCATTATACCCTATGGCTGCATCACCGAGGCGGATCCAAAGCTTCGGCCGGATCGAGGCGGAAACCCGGTCCTGAGCTCTGGAGCGGATCGCGGCCATCCGAAGCGGCTGGATCGGATCGCTGCCAACTCGCACAGGCCTAATAACTATCCTTTGCTTTTTGCTTCTCCTGTGTTTTCTTGAGACTGGAGCCATGATGATAGATCAAGCTAGCCTGCTGGGTCTGTAGCGGGCAAGATTCAAACCTGTGCAGGAGAGCCGTAACAAACGTTTAGTCCATTGTCATAAGCAGTCATCTACAACTACTATTGACAGAGAGGTAAAGAGCTCCCTGTGTCTTCAGCTCAATCAGTTGTTTCCATGGAATAACTGAGGGGAGAATTTTCTCCCTGAATAATGAAAAGGGAGGAAAAAAATCCAGCTTCCAACAGCATGTTCTTCTTTCTCGCGCTCTTCAGAAAGCAATAACAAAGGAGCATGTTGTACATTTAAATGAGTCACCTCAGGAGTAGACCACATTCATGGATGCATCGCCAAACAAGCCATACTTGTGCTGCACTCATCAGTGATCCCACTAAGAGCTGACTTATTTCAGCTGAAAATTTAATCAAGGCTCTCACTCCTGAGGGAAGCTTGCTGGTTTTGAAACCCTGGGCAGAACTCAATACACTTTCTGTGATGTCCAGTGCTGTTGAAAACCACATTATTTGCAAGAGGTTATACTGGCTAGAGAATGAACTGGAACTGAGAGATATGGTGAGAGGTTATATTCCCAGGTCTGTTGTGACCTTTGGTCACTCATGTCTCCTGCCTCAGTTTCTCCATATAGACATCGGGAATAGTATTTTCCTGGTGTAGAGGGTAGTAAGTACTATAGAAATGTAAAGTATTATTATCAGCGAGCATTTAACCAGGCCAAGTGTCTACCTACCATACAATGACAGCTTCTTTTTTGATAGGTCACTTGCCTATATTATAGGTTAGAGCAGGGGTGGCCAACCTCTGGCATGCGTGCTGCAAGTGGCATGGGCAGACTCTGTGTGTGGCACGCGGCAGACTGGGGAGGTAACGGGGAACAGAAGGAGCAGCAGATTGGACAGGGGAGGGGGATCAGAGAAGTACTCGGGGTGGGGGGGCATAAGATTTATGGCACATGTGCCAAAAATGTTGGTCCCCTGCTGGATTTGAGACATCACTTGATCCCAGGAATCCTGGCTCGTGGACCCCTCTTCTCTCTGGTCTCCCCACCTACCTCCTTTGTCCTACTCTTGTCTTCATTCTAGGAAAGCGCACCTGATCCTAAGGAGGTTGGAGAAAGTCAGCAACCACTGCTCAACCCTGTTACGCAGTGCCTATATCCAGAGCCGCACTGAAACCATGCCCTACCTGTTCTGCCGCAGTGAAGAGGTTCGGCCACCCGGCATGGTCTGGTACAGCGTCCTAAAAGACACCAAAGTGACATGCGAAGAGAAGATGGTTTCCATGCTGCGCAACATGTACGGAGAGTCCAAGGGGCGGTGAGGGAAGATGTCGGCCTGAAGCTGTGGAAGGCAAAGGGACTCCAAGGAGTCAAGAACTTGTGATATCCTGAATAGCTGGTGGGATGTGGGGGAAGGGTGACGTTCGGAGGGGTTGGAGGGGACAGCAAGGCCGAACGGGACTTTCTCACTAAGATGGTGGAGAAACAAGAAATCAGCAAGTTGGACTTTAATTTCCTTTTTTTATTTTTAAAGAGAAAATACCTAATTTGACTCAGCATAAAAGTCTCTCCTTTTTAATCTTTTCTTACTGAATTTCCTGGACTACACACATGAAACCCGAGTGGAGGAGAAATCCAAAAGAGCCAGGGCCACACCAGGGAGTGAACTGGGAGAGGGGAGAGATTGACTTGGGCATGACCTCCCCTGCTAGCCCTGGAAATGGATGGGCTAGGAAAGGGGAGGTGGGTGGTGAACTGCCTCGGTGCATCAAGGAGAAAAAAGAAATACCTTGGTTCTGGGAGGCGCCGTGAGAAGCTGGAGGCACCATCCTGAATGTGGAGGTCATGGAGATTCATGCCAGGCAAGTGCCAGGACATTGCAGGCAAACTGTTTTTTTAACACTCCCAAGTTTACAGAACTGTTCCTTGGGGAGCCTTCATTTGCAGGGTTCCTGACAGGTTGTTCTGTGCATTAAAGATTCATATTAAGTCCACCTTCCTTGCCTGCTTGGTATTTCTTACTGATGCACTTCTCTGCTGCTGTCTGTGATCGTATACAGGGCCTTTACATGGAGTGACGTGGGATGCAAATGGGTCACTTGCGAGCCCTTTTGAAAGAAATCCCAGTGTCAGGTACATGGCTAAAGGGCGAATTCTTTGCCTGACTAGCCACTTCTGAAACCCACCCGGGGGTAAGGGAGACAGCAGCTGAGCAATAAAAGAGGAATGGTGGGGAGAGCATAACCTCTTTGTGTAGAACCAGACAGCTCTTCTTCTGCAGTACCCCCAGCCCCCGTGGACGTTAGTGAGTGTTATAGGCCTGTGTACAAGTCCAAGAACTAAATAGATGTGGAGGCTGTTTTATTTTTATGACAGGTGTGAGTACAGGTGGCGTGAGAGTCGTGTGAATAATGGATTGTTCTGTTAAGAAGCCAAACCTAAATATGAGGGCATGGGGGAGGGAATGGGAAAAAAAAAATACTAAGTCTACCTTCCCACCCAAAGGGGAAAAAATGGGGAAAAAAAATGTTCTGGTTGAATGAAATGTTTTGGTCAACCCAACTCAAAATGTAGTCTTTAAGTTTGGGGTGATTTAACTCTTCACATGCTTGTAAAAACAGGTTAATTTGCAAATGAAAATGTTTTGAAACCAAAATTTAGTTTCATTAAGAAAATTGCAGAAGGGAGCAGCCTGGCTTTCTGAGATGTTTTCCTCTTTCTTGTTTTCTGCTGAAACTGTTCACCAAATGTATCTGCAGTTGCCCTGAGTTTGGGTTGCCCAATACTGCATTTGGTGATAAACTTAGTGTTCATCAAAAAAAAAAAAAAGTTGCCCTACTGGCAAACACTTAATGGCACAGGGTGGGAAGCTGAGGCTCAACATCTTGCTCCATACTTCACAAAAATCAGACAGAAGTCTATGTCAGTGGTCTTTGAATCACGCCTTAGTTCAGCAGTTCCCAACCTCTGACAGATTGCGCACCACCAATTTAAAATGATACAACCTTAAGTACCACCAGCAAATGTTTGTAATATAAAGTAATTATAATAACTCTGTTAACATGTACCATTGGCAGGTTGTTTGCATACCACCACTGGTGGTACCCCTACCACAGATTGGGAACCACTGCTTTAGTTACTTCCCTTTGCAAGTCAGAGGATGTGTTTGGTCTTCGCTTTGGCATCTGCTGAGGCAGCAATGCAAGGGGCATTCACATTTGCAAGGTCCTGTCTGAACTGTTGAAAAGGAGTTTCGGACTGACCAACCTCTGTTCCTGTAAGAACAATAATGTGGGGAAGGGGATTAGTGATGACACCAAAGAAGACACCCCATCTTTGAAGCTCCTTTAAAGCAGCAAACATCAGGTCATTGTTTCTGCAGCACCAAACATGATGAGGAGGCACTGGTGCCTGACTGGGGGTCACTAGAAGCTACAAATAGTAAATAACAGCAATAATTTTCTCCGAATTTTTCATATATTAAACACCCATGTGAGCCATTGCTGCTTCCTACATTCCAGACTCAAATTTGCTAATTTGGGATCCCATATTTTTCCTATTGTAAAATGCTTAGAGAACAACTTGTGTCATCATGAAATCAAGGTGCCACTTGCATAATAAAGTGCTTAATCCCCTGGCACCTAAAAGATTCTCCATCATAATCGTCTTTTCCCTTCCCTTGGGTCTTGCTTGTCTGCTGTAGTCCCTTGGGTCTCTGGAAGTGGCGAGTTTTTGTCCTCCATCACTCACCAAATTCTTTTTGCCTTTCACAACCAGATGGTGCATTTGCAAGGAAAAATTGAAAGTCTAAAGAGCTTCTTCTCTTTGTCTCTCCATGGAGGCCAACCACAATGTGCAGGCATTTAACACATGGTGGATACAAGGTGCTTCTTTTTAAAAAGTGCTGTGCTTTTGCAAGCTTTCACTGACTTTGATTGCAGCGTCAGAGGCTCACTAACTCCTGACCTGGAGGCGAGGAGAATGCAGTGAGCGGGTGACATGCTACCCAGGCATGATGAAGTGGATACTACTACACCCTCTCAATAGCCCTGCAACTGCTGCGAGTTTTCACTGCCCGACAACCCAGAGTAATAATTCTGGCTAAATCCCAGGGTCTTCTACTGCAGGCAATCACTGCTCTCCCTTTCCAACTCTTGAGCTTGCCATGGACACCCTCCAGGATTTAATGGGACAAACAGCTCCTTTTAAAAATACCGTATAAACCGTACTTAGCCCTCAAAATGAAGCATGCACCTCAGATGCACCTCAGATCACATGCCGAGTAAGGGAATTGGAGAAGAGGTTAAGGAAATATTTGTTAGGACCTATTATTGTGTCAAACAAAACAAAGTCAAACTCTTGAATTGAAAATAAGCTGCTGCTTGATGCCTTGACTGCTGTTTTGGCATCAGGTTGCTGCACTGTCATATACTGCCATTAAAAATACCATGTGCAACTGTGAGAGGAATCTCTTGGGTGCCCTAGACCCAGGCTGAAGAGGCCTGATTCTTCTCTTTCCTTAAAACCATGTAAACTCATTGACTTTTAATTGGGGGGGGGGTGTTACTTGGTTTACCCTGAGGTGAGTGCAAGAAGAATGTCATCCAGTCCCATGTAATAGCACAGAACAGTGGTTAACCTTCAGTAGGGTATATATGAGAAATATATAGCATATACTCATCAGCTGCAGCCTGGGATGGTGTGATATGGTGCTACAACAGAAATGGTTGAACCTTGAGAAGTGAAAAGGGTTTGGTTTTTTTTGCAGATTTCTTGAACTCTTTTTTTTTGTTGGTTCTCAGGTTTTTTCCAGAACCAGTCCCTTCCTCTGCCCTTTATGTCACAGACTCAGTTTGGTTTGCTTTTTCAAAGAAAAGCCATGGTTGAAAACAAAGCTGCACATGACACAATGGAGAGGAGCTTTGGAGACTCAACTGAGGGTAGAAGTCAGTGTTGACTGTCCCCCTGGACATATCAGGTGTTTTTTTTCTGTAATCCCAGTTAAGCACCTAGATTGTGGTGGTAGGTGCTATAGGGACACTGAGAGACAGATGACACTTCTAGATATGGAGGAGCTTGTGCAGTGAATTAGGGGCAGGCGTTCTTCCCAAAGCTGGGGACACACAAGTGAGTGCCTGAAGGCACATCTTGTGGGCATGATACAGTTCTTACAGCTGAATCATACTCTTGCAGATCACAGATTTGTTCTTCCTCATGATTTGCACAGTTTCACACATAACATATATTTGCACACCTTCAGCCTACAGAACGGGGGAGGTGGAGAAAGCACACCACTCTTGCTATTTTCTGCAGTCCAGGGTGCACAGGAGGACATGGGAAACAGAACTATAATTGCAACAGTCCCAAGACTGCTCAAACTAAGGGTGAAACATGATGGACGTGATGATGGCTTAAGATGATCTTAACCCCCATCCGCCCTTTCCCAAGTGTCATATGGGTGTAACTAAGAAGGAAGCCCAGAGTATAAGGTAGGTTTTCAAAAGTGGTGTGTGCATGTAACATCTGTGATCTAGATGATACCGCCTAACATATTTGCAAGCATATTACAGAGTATGGCGTGTATATAAACACCACACAACGTGGGCCAGATTTTCAGCTGGTGACTCAACAGTGAAGTCTCCCAAATAGCTTTGTTTTACTCTAGTGGAAGTCTAGCTTCCCTGTTTGTCCATGCATGCAGAAAGAGAGAGAGTGTGTGTGTGTGTGTATGTGCATGTGTGTGTGTGCGTGGTTCTGTACAGCAAGTGACAGTCTAGAAATAAGGGAAGGCAGCCTGCAGAATTGGATAGCACAATCGTCTGCAGGTAGTGCAGTGTGTATAACTGAAGATCAAAGCCAATTTAAGTCAGTGGAAAAATGGAAATCCTATAATTTACCTGGGTACCCAAGCCAAACAAAACCCGGGAATTATTTGAGGTTGCAAATGAAGCAGCTCACAACTGAAAGAAAGGTTCTGTATTTCCTCTTTGGAAATTTTGAACCTTTTCACCTGTTGGCTTTTGAGCTGATCTGTTGCACTTTTCCATCCCAGAAGCACTGGCAGATAGCAGCACAGCCCATATTAGCCACACAAAACTTCTTTCCTGACTTGGCAGTTATAAACACTTCTAGCTATAGATTATTCCTTAGAGAATAATCCTTAGAGAAAAACTGATTTTAATCCATCCACCTGCCACAGAGCACCCGTGCATAAAGTCACCACCTGCACTTCAATTCTACCCTGAATAGTTATAGCTTCTGTGGCACCTTCAGGAAACTTTGTGGCTGAATGTCCTAATCTGGTATTACATTCATCGGGTTTAAATGTGACTGGGTTACTGGTCTATGTGGGTGTGTGTTGGGCAGGGTGTCAGGACACTACAATGGGTGTTGTGAATTGGTGGTGAGGAGGAATGGGTTGAATCAGAGAAGAAGGTGGGAGGGTGGGAAATGATTTTTTGACTTAAACAAGAGTACAGCCAGGCAGCTAGCAAGGTATGTGGCTTATATTGCTCTCTTCTACTTGGATATTGTATTGCTATCTCCTGGCACTAGTGTATGCTTTAATTTTGGACTGTAAACTCTTGGGGAACAGGACTGCATCTTCCTCTACATGCCTAGCATGTAGCAGACACCAGCAAAAGCTAAACAATAAATAGCAGCCATAGTTTTACATGAAAGCCAGTGTCCCTTAAAGAGAAAAACGTCATGGTCTAGGACAAAGATTGGAAATGTGTTATTTATTTAAATGAGACAAGTGGAGAGAGTGACTGGGAGTGGGATTTAGCAAAAGGTTCAGCACATTGTGCTGAGATTGGGTGCAGAGCTTTTTGAAAAATCTCGGCCTACTTGTCAAATGATGCCGGGCTCTGAGTTTATGCACCTAGCATCAGGGGATGCTACTTCCCATAGAGCACTTAGAAAGTCTCAGCCTGAGACATGGAGCATTCAGAGTCCAGGATGAGATTCACATGCTCTGCAGTTGCCATAAGGG